TCTGACAGCCATCAGTTGCCCACTGATCCCTGAGATATGTACCCGACAGCTGTCAGTTGCCCACTGATCCCTGAGATATGTACCTGACAGCCATCAGTTTTCACTGATACCTGAGATATGTACCTGACAGCCATCAGTTGCCCACTGATTCCTGAGATATGTACCTGACAGCCGTCAGTTGCCCACTGATCCTTGGCATTATCGTAGAAGCCACACGCAGTGTTGTAGGGGCCAATTCTGACAGATACATTGGTGGTTATAAAAGGGACATCAGTTTCATTTGCTGCGATGGTCTGTCCTTCTTGAACTGCTATATCATTTGCTGCGATGGTCTGTCCTTCTTGAACTGCTATAATCAAATACTTGTGAGACCCCTCCAGTATCAGCATGTCAGCACTGCCCTCTGTTACACAATCAAAAACAGTTAAGTATACTTAACAATGCCTCATTATACTGAGGATCAGCACATCCACGTTGCGATCTGTTACAAAAGAAACCCATAAATCATGTACTAATCTCCTGATTAAAGATCAATAAATGGTTCAAATGCTTCTGCTTACATCAGCCGGCCATCTTAATGAGTAAGTTGGCCATCTTAATGAGTAAGTTTTATCACATGGAATCAAATTAACTTTCGAGAAACATGTCATGTCACTAGAGCTTACCCTTACCTTACAGAAACTGAAGTCCCACAATCAGTCAAACAAACAGACAAAGCAACCATATTATCATACCACATTTTGTCTGAAAAGCAGAGGATAAGAATGACCAAGGGACATGTTATCATCTCATCATGGTTTTGTTTTAATTTAAAGTTAAATTATTCTTGCAGCCCTCAGTGTGCCCATACTTTATAATCCTACACTTTTCCCTTGGTCCAGGAATCTTTTCAACCAAATTATGTAATCCTTTCATCCATAAAATTACTAGAATCTTAAATTGTTTGTTTGTTTGATTTTGTTTAACGTCCTATTAACAGCTAAGGTCATTTAAGGACGGCCTCCCCTGTGTGCAAGATGCATGCGTGTAGTGTATGTGTGTGTATTTTGGGAGGCTGCGATATGTTCGTGTTTGTCTCCTTGTGATAGT